TTAAAGCGTAACTTCACTCCGACGGTGCTTAGAAAACCATTTGTAACTCGCGTATGGGGACAGGGGGTGGGTTAGGATGGTGAAAAAAATTACGATTAAAAGTGCAGTTCGTTAATTATAAGTTCATACAAGTTGGCTTGTTATGAAAGAAATACAAAAGGGAGGGGGAGGGGAATATTGCGTGTATGAAACACGAAGGATGATTAAGAATTAAGGAAATGCGTTATTCTGTGATTCGCTACGTGTTTTGTATTTATTTCGTGAATTTTCATTTCTCTTTTTCTCTTTCTCTCTCTCTTGATAATATTAATATATTTGATATAATATTAATATACTTGATAAAATTTATATATTTATTGATTTTCGTTTAATTGTATTTAATATTTATTTTTTTTTGATTTTCACAAATGTAGATGAAATATCGTGTGTATAAATGAAAGAAATATAAAAGTAGTTATTTCGTTAATTCGGTATATTATTTTATAATTATTTCGAAAATTTATTTTGAAAATAATTTTTATCCCTTATAGCTTTAATCACGTTTAATTTCTCTCCCTTAATTTTTCTTTCGCGCGTTTAAAATATCCAGAATGGCAAGGCAACTCTGTAATTCAATAGGGTGTTTTTACCATTTTTTTTTCCTAAATTTCTTTCCCCGAGAATAATTTTTATTCCTCGTCTTAGTCCTCTTCGTTTATGTGCACGCGCACAACATGCACGCTCCGCTTTCCTCTTTGCTCTTATTTCTTTCACACAGTCGTATTTTGTTTCTCACAGCTTTTTTACTCACCGTGCCATGCGTTTTACATAGTATAAAGCGTAACGTTGGAAACGTTTAAATTTTTTATGAATGAAGCGCCAGAATATCGATAGATGGCGCTTTTCATTTTTTTAAACTTTTAATTCTGTTCTCTCCAACTCCGTTCGAGAATCTCGGTTGGATAGTATACGCGAGAGATAAAACAATATTGTTCCAAGAAATATCGTCGAACGAACTCGAGACAATATTTCGAATTTATTTAATCTCCATTAAATGCCTGCCAATTACTCGAGCCACTTTTCGAGGCCCTTGACAAGCTTTGTTTCCTCCAAGCGTCGTACAGCTGCCGAACAAGCAACTACAACCGATGACAAGGGCGGTGTTATCGAGGCGGCGCGAGAAAGCATTACTTTGAGGCGTGTTCGCATTTAAATTAGGTGCAAGGACCGAGACTGTCTCTGTATTTTCCTGTTGTTCGTTCACCCCCCCCCCGTTACGTGTACACTCGTGTACAAAATGCTTGTTGGAAACTTGGCCTGAAAGCTTGGGCGATGGTTTACTCGTTCGTTCGTGGAAAGCGTGGATATCTATATATCTTAGAATGTCGCAATTAGTTGACGGAGGCAAGTACAACACAACAAGTTTCATAATCCCTGTAACGTAACATATATTCCCTTTTGTCGTAATTAGTTGACGGTGGGTACGCTAACGAGTACGAAGGATGCGTTATTTTCGAGTTTCGAGTTGCACGACCGAACCGAGATTTGCTCACCTTTCTTGCAAACTTTCTCCGGTTGCGCAGCTATCTTGGGAGGAAGTCGCGGAGCAATTGTCGATAAGGTTTTCGTCGAGTTTATCTAGGTGAACGAGAAGAATTTCAATGGTAATCGGGTGTAATTCTTACTTGATAAACTTGGTTGGGATTTGAATGCGATACGATAATACATCTTGATGATTAATATTACATTTTTTTGAATTTAAATAAAATTAAATTTAATTTTAAAAGTGATCTCGATCGATCATCGAGAGTTTCTCGATGAAGTGATTGAAAATATTTTCAGTATATGGAGTGAGTAGTTTCATTATTTTAAGATGAAAAAAGATTGATAATAAGATGTAAGAATGTAGAATGATATTTTTTATGATCAATTTTTAAAACGACCGATGTAAAATTTGAGCAAGTTGTTTAATGGTATAATTTGAAACGTTTAATGCACGTTATTCGAGTATTTTAGATAGATGTTATACGATGAATAGCGCTTTGTAATTTAATTCTCTGTAAATACAGAAATCAATTAACGATTAATTAAGGGCTGAAAATAGCGTTCAACTCAATTTAACAAATTCAACAAATAATACGATACTGAAGGAAATGATAAAAATAACGAAGCTTTAAATATTCCAAATATATACGAAAACGATTTGTATTAATATTTCTTTGCAAATTTTTACCCAGAACAAATTCAACCGAATCTATTAGTCAGATTAAAATAAAACCCACGATTTTTATATGAAAAATATTGTTCGCAAAAAGTACGTACTATTAAAATTTACAATCAAAAAAAGATACCCTAAGATTTTTGGCACCTATAAATCATCAACCCACTATAAATCTCAAATATACCTTTCCATTCTTGCCCATGCCAACATAAAAAGAATACAAAGAAAGAAACCTAAACATCATCCCTCGACGATCACCGAAAGAACGAATCCCCTTGAAACAGGGGATGAAGTATCGCAACGTAATAACTTTGGTCGTCTTTGGAAGCAACTCCATTATCGTTAACGCCCGCAAATTTCCTCGGAACGATAAAATTAATCAGAAGAGAATCCAATATCTCGTTTCTCGAGAACAAACTCCACATTCTACGAGCTACACCCTATTACACGAATAAAACCGCGGCCATTGTCTTTCTCTTTTTTCTTCACGAAGAAGAAGCGCGTGGTGGGCGGATTTCTTCCCCTGCCAAGATGAAAAGAGACGGAGATAGACACAGGGAAAGAAAAATGAAGATGGATGATGGGGAAAGGGAACGAAGGAAAGGGCGTCAATACCGCATAAAACGCGGGCTACGTGACATGAATAATTCCGGTTGCGTTAAAATGTCACAGAATCGAGATTCCACTTGAGAGGAGGAGGCGCGTTTTCTTCCCTAAAATCAATTAAATCGGGCAAACGGGCAGATTCACCTCGAATAAAGGAAAATATTTGCCGGTTATCGATTAAACCACCGATTTCACCGAGCAGCAAAATGGCGGAAAATAGGGAAGGAGCGAAAAATCAATGGCCATTATTCATAATTTTTCCTGTTGCGTATATAATTAAAAATAAACGATAATAATATCGTGTTTTTCTCGAGACGAGTGATGCTGAGATATTTTTTCTTTTTCTTTTCTTTTTTTTTTTTTTCTTTTTCTATTCTTCTTCGATAGAAGAAAGGATTTCGAATGCGTCGATGTTGGGCCGTAATGTCGATATTTCAAAAATTAACGAGTTGGTATTTCGCGAGAGCAGGCAGTTTGATAAGCCGACGAGGATTAATATTCAATAACGAAATACGTCAACGTCTCCGGCAATATTCGCTCGCTGCCGATTAGGGGATGGACGAGAATGCTTTCGGCTCGAGATGTGCTGGATGGATTTCTTTCTTTTTTTTTCTCGAAACGATGAACGTGTTTGAATGAGATTGATCGATGTTGCGATTTTTACGTATTCAATATTTAAGGATTGAATGAAGAAATATACGCGATATTTCGTTATTGGTGAATTATTGTGCGTGAAGAACTTAAGCATCGCAAAATTTCGCTCGTGAATAATAAGCAATGTTCAAGCTTTCGATCGATTGGTCTGAAAGTTGGTCTGAAAGTGATATTGACAAATGGTAAGAGAAAGTACAAAGAAAACGGCCGGTGGAACGGTATCACGTCATAATAGGAACGAGATGGGGAAAGGGCTCTGTATTCAGATCTCCCTTGGAAATTCAGATCAGGTTAGACACCGGAATGTCAAAAGATCAACTACAATTCTCATCTTCCGCGTAATATAGCGACAAATGTCAAGAAACTCGACTCTGTTATATTCTCCCCTTCGAGACTTCTCGATTGAAATATCTTCAAATATTAAACGTTATAAAAGAAAACTTTATCTTCCATCTTCACGGATCATACATACTATCATTCTTCAATATCAATTACAAATATCTACTTCATATTTCTGACAGTTTTAATTTCAATATAAATTCATCTCGTCGAGATTTATCGACGTTTAAACGAACGAAATGAAACAACCCTCAACGTAACATCGTAAGAATTTACACACGATGAAAGGGTTTCTCACTTCGATTCATTTCGTTTCAAAGAACGTGCAATTACGAAAAAAGCAAGGATGAAACCTCTTTTTTTTTTTTGCTCTGTTACGGTCCAATCTTGATATCTTAAACATAGATAAAAAGAAAAAAAAAAAAGATGGAAAATGAAGTGAAATTCGGGTGGAACGTTAACGGGTGTAATTTGACGAGCCTTCGAAATTTTCGAGACGCTGAGCCGCCTCTCGTCAAAACGATCGTGGAAAAAAACACGCAATTAACTTACTGCCGGTTTTAATTAACGCATCCAAAGAGATGGAAAAAGGGAGGGTTGGTAATGAGAGAGGGGGGGAGGGGGCAGGCAGAGAGACGGGTTGATGAGCGCGCGAACGGGGTTGGCGCGTGATTTGTAGAATTTTAATTAAATAAAACGCGCCGATGCGCACAATATCGGGAACGTTTAAAATGATATTTTTGTTTGCCCCGTTATAGGCCGGCGTCGTTAACCCTCCTAATTGGGTAGGACGCGCGGCTTCCAACTTTTTACGCGTGAAAATTTTTTATCGTCGTTGAATTGACGCGTCATGCGTGAAAAAATAAAAGGGAAATGATGAGAAAGTGAGTGCGTATCGTCGTGTTACCTTTGTCGAGCTAATTTATACAGAACTAGTTGTACGAGCATAAGGGTTGAAAATGATGCCGTGGATCGAATCACGTTCCCTTTTCAACTACTGCAATTAATCGACTCGTTTTAAACGAATATTCCGATGAATTGCGAGATACACAGAGTTGGAAATATTTTGAAATCGTGATTTAATATCTATGAGAAATTGAACGAAATTAAATTTCTGATAATTGCGATGAAAAAAAAAAAAAAGAAAAGAAATATCGAAGAACCATATTTGTTATTATTATTTGAAGAAACTTCCGCTTACCTAATTGTGAAATGTTACAACGTGGAAAATTGTGTTCTATATTTGTGCGACGAATATTGTACCAACCTGGAACAGAAGAAAAAAAAAATAAATAAATATTATCATTTATATCATGTATTTTTATTGTTATTAAAATTTTAATCACGGAAATAATAAGTTTTGTTCGTAGAATGTTATTAAGAACACGAAAATTATTTTTCATAAAACAATAATGAATAAATGAATAAATTGAATAAAGACTTCAAGAAGCTTTGTTTTCAAAAAGAAGAAAAGAAGAAGGTTTTGTTAATCGATTTAATAAACGAGAATTCCAGTTAGTGAAAAATGGAAATCTTAAGGAAATTTAGCACGGATAATTAATAAAAATAGAGGGGAAAAGATATATCTCGTTATTTTCTTTCGATTTTAAATTATACTCTTATTCTAGCGAAGATAATAATACAATATCAATTGAACGATATAAAATGTTACTTTGATTTTTTTTCTTGTAAAGTCACTCGTGGATTACAATTCCCAAGAACGATTTGTAACGAAATTTAGTTTCAACTCTAACCTCAGTTCTAATTCTTCAGACCAAGAGGAATTATTAAATGCAAATTATATGTATAATATTATCCAAACTATTATCCGAACAAACTAACATTCAACGTTAAATATTTACCAAAGAGCTTAAGAACTTTTTAAAAAAATTATAAGACGAAAGATTAAGAATTTAAGAAACGCTGAAAAATAATTAATGCGTAACTGTCAGTGATGCAATCCATTATAATCTTAAAAATTATTAAAATTCTAGAATAATTTAATTTTGAAGAATTTTATAAAAGGATTATTAAAATTGTAATATATCTTGGATAATATACCAATGGAATTTTCAATATCAACATTTTCATTCAAATTTTCAATAACTCGATTCCAAAAAATCAGAAGAAAGGCATTAACAATCATCCCTCATTTTTTCACAATACACTTCACAAATTCAATCGATGAATTATTTTCGAACGAATAAATACCTTCAATTCTTCGGATAGAATCGCTCCTCATTAATCCATAACAACATCTATTCCATTTACTCGAATGCACACACATCGACTACATATTCGAAGACCGGATATAATAGTTACCGCAAACGCTTGAGAATATTGCGTGCTCGTGACCTATTCCATCGCGATTCCGATCGTTGTTCAACCAGAGCTCGAGGATAATATTATTAGGTCATCTCGTAAGTAATGCGATTTTTTCGAGGATCGTATAATGCGGCGATAAAACAGGCAGTTCTATGCATTCATTCGCTTACGTCGGTTGTTCTCATGAATTCACAAACGTGCTCGCTTGCAATAAAGTTGTGCGAGTGAGTTTGGAAGCAAATAGATTTGATAGAAAGCGCGATTTGAAATAGATATTTTCTACAATATGAGGTTAGATCATTTATATTCTCAACGTTTTATTACATTTTTAAGTATTTTTAACAGAATTTTATTCGCGAAAAAATATAAAATATAAGATTAGGTACAGAAATTGTAAAATTGTTTCTCTGTAAAAGAACAACTTTCGAAGTTAATAGAATAATAATCTCAAACAAATTATTTACGAATTGTTGCAATCTTTATTATTATACATTTAGTATTAATAATAAAAATCTTATAAGTTAAAAAAAGTATGTTCACAATTTTTTCAGAATAATAGAAATTGTAATCAATATTAGTTACATTTTTCAACGAATATTTTTTAAATATCAATTTGAACGATACTCCTTCACATTTCCAATTTTCAAATACATTACATAGCTATAAACCATCCAAGAACTTCCGAAACTCCGCATATTTCGCACCATCTCCAAGGGCCTCTTTACACCGCGATCGTGCATGCAACTCGCAAAGCCGTCCTCGACGTATATCTCGGCGCCGTCTAATTCCGCGAATTCTGCAATCTTCCCTTCGAACATGCGGTTGCGTGTAGGCACGCGCGTGAATTCGCGTGTGCATATTCGCGACTACCCCGAGATCAAAGCGAATGACATAGTATAACCGAAAGGGGGACAGAGAACGCGTCGAATCGGAATGAAGAGGAGGAAGAAAGAGAGAGAGAGAGAGAGAGAGAGAGGAAGCCAGATACGAGAAGTTACGAGGCGAATTTTTCCAAGGCTGCGTGTTGGCTGCCAACATCTCCGAATTCACGAAGACTTTCGTTTCTCGGTAAACACCGACGTCGACGATCGGACAACGTGCGAGGTATATCAACGATGGCTGCGAATAAGGAACGTTTATCCTCGGAGCGAGTATAGAATGCGGATTTTCAATTTCTGCGGAGGGCAACTTGTTCCACCGATATTGCCGTTCGTTTATTCTCGGATTCCACGTTTCCTTCGATCGTGCACCGTTGTTTCTCTTCCCTCATGGCGCGCATGCGCCAACGAGCTTTTAAAACGCGGATTTTATTTCGAACGGGACATCGCGTTAACGTAGCCGCGATTTATACAAACGAATTCTATTTTTCGGCGAGGCCAATAATACGACGGAGCGTACCCTGTTAAGAGCGAAACGATGTAAACGTCGATTCGTGCACGAACACTGACGGAATTAACCTCTCGGGGGGTGAGAAGAAGGGAGGTTTCGGAGAGGGGAAACGAGAGATGTGTGCGCGACTTTGCGGTATGTTGCGTCCGTGTCGAGAAAGAGGTGGAAACGACTGACAGGCGAGACAACCGAGGATAATATCCCGGTGAGAGTTTTTAAGGGAGAATGGTGGTGGTACGTATGGGTGTGTGTAGTTTGAATATAGGATACACGTGTGTTTTTCCGTTCGATCGAGTGATTGAAGGAATGAAATATATAAATATTGATGAGATTAATTGAATTATTTCAGGAATTTAGGAAATTGAGATATTTTGATTGAAATATGAGATTCTTTGGTAATAAATTTTTAAGATTCTATGATATTTATTAAAAGTAAATTTTGTAAATTAATTTAAAAATTAGCTATTGAATTTTAAAAATAAATATATAATTTTTATTTTGCGAAAATAAGTAAATATAAGTATTAATTTATCGCCATTATTAAATATTTAAACCATTATTCGTATAATTAAGTGCCGATTTAATCCATTAAACGCTATTTGAACATGCGTAAGAGCACCTCAAATGAGTAGCTATTGTTTTGAGCGTGCAATTTCATTTGCTTGATAAACGCAATTTTGGCTTTCTATTTTAATTAGAGGCACTGAAACGCTGGAATTGTAAAAGTTTACAATATAGCAATATGCATTATTAGACATTGTAATATAAATATTTTATTTATACGATCTTTAAATGGATGTTTTAACTAGAATTGAAAGCTACGATGATTTAATACTTTCACGAACTCGAAGAAAAAACTATATAAAGCAATTTTACCAATTTGTGTTGTCAATAATACCGACAACGTTAAGATTTCTCACAATGAAATTCATTAACCAGATTCTAACTTCTTCTATGAAAGAAAGTTAAAATGGAAAAGGAAACACGTAAAGGAAAAGAAGTTTAATTCCTATGCTTAATGGATTAAAAACAAACAACGTTAAAGTAAGAAACTTTTATACAGAAAATTAGAAACGGAGTTTGAAAAACTATTAAAACTGGTTCTTGTGCCTGTCTGTGAAATATTTTTTTTTCTCAAAAGTATATAAAACGACCAAATCTTTTTATAATCTTTTTATATTCCTTCCTAAAATATATATTTATCAATCAACGTATAAGGAAATCGATAACTCACAAGATTATCATCTTTTTTTTAAACATTTTGATAATTTCACAATTTCCACGTTACTTGTTCCATTATTAAAAACTTTCAACTTTATTTCTTTTACAAGTTACTTTATCGACACTGGTAACTTCTAAAAACTTTACCAATAACATTCTTCAAATCCAAAATCTCAAAATCTCCCTCCCAATAAGCCGAAAAGAAAGGAGGAAACTATCGTATAACTTCCACAACTATTTATTCCATTCATCTTCTTAACATCTTCAAATCCCATGAATGTAAACAGGAACACGAAAGAGCTACGACGAAATTTCTCCACTAACAATACAAACGTGAATCTGACTGTTTTCACGTCTTTAATGGACGCCCAAACATCTCGAAACGAGGATCGAAACGAGGGAGGGGCCGGTCTCGTTAAAACGTCCATGTGCTTCGAGGGTTGCTCGTTCCGGCGGGAAAGCAACTCGACAAACGGATAGGATAATTTAACACGAATCGACCAACGAAATTACAATTTTCCTCAACGTTGATTCGAACGAGCGAGGGTTGAGGATCGATACGCGACACCTTCGCGCTTTTCTAAAAAGCTTGCGCGCGGTTAAATTCGCATTATGCATGTTTCCGACGACGCGAGCAACTTTTACGACCGCCTTCTTCTTTTTTTTTTTTTTCTCTTTTCTTTTCTTTTTTGCGAAACGAAAATGCGCCTGTTCAGACATTCAGCACTCTGGTCGACTTAAATATTTGATTCGAGCAACTGCAACGTCGTGGGTAACGCTACATCACGCGCGTATAATTTACAAATATTAGCTCGAAGAAATTGAAACACGCGTGTATTTCAAGTCGAGTGAAGTTTTTTCACGTTTCTTATATATTCTAATGTTTTGTCGATTTATAGTGCAACTATAATTGTCAAAGATCTTCGAATTAATGAAATATATACGGATTCGGTCACGTAGCGTGTAAAGTCAAGTAAATTGCAAATTATTTACAACGTGAGAAATTAATACAAAATTTTGTGATGTAAATACAGACATAATTTTGCTTCGTTCTTTTGTAGATATATGTACAGATATAAAAGGATTATTTTAATTTACTTCTACTCTTAATATTCAGCAAGTCTTCCAATTTAAATTATAATAATCTCAGATATTCCAATTGTTTTTATCTCTATATATATTATTAAAGAAACTCTTTTGAGTAAGTCTTACAAGGCTTTACCCGTCCATTTTTTATTAAAGAATTATAAATAAAAAAAATTTGTTGACGCAAATCCCTTTCAGTCTTGTGTAAAATTAATATTGTTAAAAAGTATTACACGGAAGTATTAC